TTTCCCTCTGACAGTTAAACCTTCATTTGAAAGAAAAGGACACCATGTCTTGGGCTGAACAAGTTATTTGATTAATGGGTGTGTTTTTATTTCTGTTCTGCTTTTTGCCATGAAAAGGATTTACTGATAAGGTTGCATGCAAGTTTATCATGAGTTACCTACTACTTAGCATCAACAAATGAAAAAGTGAAAAGTCATGTCAAGCCTTACCACAAAAATACTGCATTTTTCAATTACATGTAAACATCCTGTGACAGAAACAGCATCCCATCAAAGTCAATGTATGACAAGACATACAAAAGATTAACCCAGAAATGTCTATCAATGCATTACAAATATGCTTTTTGCCCAGAAATTTCAGACTCAATGAATTCAAAGAAAATTTGTACCACCTCAGTAGGATCAGGTTATCATATATGTTGTCTACCAAAACCCATATATTGGCACTAAGCATCTCATTAGGTTGCTGAAAGCAGTACGATATATATGACCAAGGAACACCCTAGGTGCAAACTGCACAGTTGCACACTTAGATCTCATGCATTCAAACCAAATCCCCAGCTTTAGTTGCAGAGAGCTGTAAGTGAAACCTCTTCTGTAATATCACTGATATTCCTGCAGAAAAGCACCAATTAAAGAAACAGGGTGCAAGCATCTTTAGAGGCAGAAGAGATATTTCATGAAGATATACTTATATATTTATATCCCAGTCCAACATCAGACTTCCAAACTGGACTTTTAAACTTGAGGAGGCAAAGGCATTTAACAGTAAACCCCACCCCTTAGTAACAGAATACTCATTCACATATTTTGTGACAAAATGCTCTGAAGCATAAAAATACACGATTTCAAACAGCACTTCATTTGATGGTAACACGATAAGCTCAATTCAAGAAATGTATATGGAAGAAAGTCTTCACCCAAATGGCATTATTACAATTTTGCAATGCTAAAATTCTAAATCTTCTGCAGAGTTAATCCACAAAGAGACACTGTTATTCTGATGCCAAACTGTTTACTTGGAAGTTTAACATTATCCCCTTTCATCTTTGGAGTATTACCATCATTCAAATACCTAATGTTCAAAGTCTAATAGAGTAATTATAGCTATGACGATCTAAGCATAAAAAGTTCATAGAAAGGGACTTTGCTTTTTATTAGAGCAGGTTTTTTGTGTCTATAAACCTTTCATCAGGTCTGCGAAGAATGAGAAAGCTGGCTGCATATGCAATAATCACAAAAATATCAGGTATTGATTATTCACAGGTGATTGAAGAACCACACAGCAATAAGAGCAGGACCATCTTCATACAGTTAAAATCCCCAAGAATGTGGATCATGTGTTTAAATTTAAATATAGGACTTGTTCCAAGCCAATAGATGAGTCACGTGCATGAAATTAAGTACCTGATTAATGATTTTCTGGGCTGAAGCCAAAACAAGTCTGCTGTCTCAAAAAATAAATTTATGTTGATTAGTTACATTAAATTTTCATAGTATTACACTGCAGCTACACGCAGTCTGCATATATTATTGCACTTTGCCATCATAAAGTCATCTCATCCTCAAATCTCCAAAACTTGTAAATTAAGGACACACATTAGAAGCGAAAACTAGGCTTTACCAAAAGTCAGTTACAGGTTTCTCATCAACTTAAATGGGTCCAGTAGCTCACTTTGGGTGCATATTCTTCATATGTTTTAATTAAAACTATTAGGAGTGGACGACCGGCAATATCTGTAGCATAGGGGTATTAACTGACCTCTCCAGAATGTTTGGGTAGGAAGTGTCCTTTGAATATACCATAAGACCCTTTTAAGATATATTCTGCTCTTTCACTGTTGTGATTTAACCCAGCAGGCAGCTAAACATCACACAGCCATTCGCTCACTCCCCTGTCCGTGCACCCCCCCACAGTGGGATGGGGGAGAGAAGTGGGAAAAAACAAAAAAAAGGTAAAATTCGTGGGTTGAGATAGACTAATAGG